CGGGGCTCCTGAAATAAAAACACTTAAGTTTTGGGGGGGTGTTTTTTTTTGGATGGAAAAAAAAAGGTACAAAGGGGGAGTTCCCTTTTTTTTTTTTTTTTGGCACCCCCCCTGGAGGGCCCGGGGTTTTAAAAGGCCCCCCCCCCCCCCCCTGGTTTTTTAGGGGAAAAAAAAAGGGGCAAAAACCCCAAACCCCTCCAAAAAGGTAAAGGGTTAAATAAATTGGGCGGGCGGGGTTTGGGGTCCCCCCCCCCCCCCCCCCCCCCTCTCACGCTGTCTGCAGGGTTAAGCTCATCGGCGGAGAGGACGAAGACGCCGTCCTCGTCACCGGGGGGCAGACCTTCAAGCTCACAAAGGCGGAGACCTCCAACACGCTCTTGCTCGTGCCTCCCGAGGCCGCCACGGCCAACACCGGCGTTGTCGGCGGCAACGGCGCGAGCGAGAGTAGCGGCGGCTGCACAGGGAAAGACGACGGGGGGGGCGGGGCAAAGGGGGAAGGAGGTTTTGAGGCCGTCGCTGCGGTGGGCTTCCAGTTCGAGGTGATAGAGCGTTGGGGTGTGGAAAACATCGTTTTTTGCTTGGCTACGGTTGATAAACAGGGCGGTATGCTCAATCTTGCGCTCTCTGCTGTGTCGTGTTTTTTTTGCCAAGTGCTTCATTTGGTGCCACGGACGCGTCTTGCGAATTGTCTCTATGCCAATAGAGGGAAGAATTCAACGCGGGCCACCAACTACGCTCTTGCTCTTGAGACCGTCCTGCGTTCGCTGCTTAAACACGCAGCGCTTGCCGGCGTCACTTTCGAAACATGTCGTTTGTAGTCGGCTTTGGTTCGTCAGCGGCGAATGACCACGCACCGAAATGGTTATCAAATTCTGAGTCAGTCATCCCCTCACAGCAACCACGACACGGTTTTTCATTCTTTGCTCAGCATCAATATCGAACCAGTCTGCAGCACGGGATGGGAGTATCCTACCCGAGGACAAGTGAATACAAACCCCAGCTACTTAGAAACACGAGGAAAGCATGTAATCCAGACCGCGGAGCCCGGCATCTTTGACCCCCCCCTCGGTGTTTGCCATCGGGGTTGGGTTTTCGTCGCGTGGCGACGACGTTGTAAAACAAGCTGCCCCCCGCAAGTGTTGGCCATCGGGGTTGGGTTTTCGTCGCTTGGCAGCGATGTTGTAAAACAAGCCGCCCCCCCCGGTGTTGGCCATCGGGGTTGGGTTTTCGTCGCTTGGCAGCGATGTTGTAAAACAAGGCGATCACCTCGTCGGCTCGGCAACCAGGTTACCCCCTTTTTTTTTGCCTTTGTTTTTTTTTTTGCGGTAACCATGAATGACGGTCGAGCAGATCATGTTGTGCGGGGTCGATAACTCTCACTCCGCGAAAAGGGGGTAATCGCACCACGTTGTGTCAAGTTGGTCAAGCACCCTCGAGGCAGTTACACAGTGCTTAACTGTCTCTGGACGTGAAAGCACCAGAAAATAAATTAAGTCATACGTAGCTGTCATCCGTACGCAAGGAAGTAAGCACAAGATGCCGAACACCCTTAACAGAATGCAGCGCACCCTTCATGGGACTCACCGAACACCTCAGGGCGCTTCGCGCTTGGTGATGTGAGACCCTGGTCCGGTGAGAACCCGGCGTGCTCCGTCCCGGCTTTGTAGGGATGGGAGGTCAATGGCCTAACGATTACGGCATGCACGATTAGGAGTACCCCCCCCCCCCCCCTCCCCCCACTCGGTGTTTGCCATCGGGATTGGGTTTTCGTCGCTTGGCAACGACGTTGTAAAACAAGCCAATTCACTTCGTGAACTCGGCAACCAGGTTACCCCCTTTTTTTTTTTTTACCACGGTTTTTTTTTTGGCGGTAACCATAATGGTGGTCGAGTAGATCATGTTGTGCGGGGTCGATAACTCTCACTCCGCGCAACGGGGGATGATCGCACCACGTTGTGTTAAAATGGTCAAGCTTCCTCGAGGCAGTTACACAGTGCTTACAACTGTCTCTGGAAGTGAAAGCACCAGAAAATAAATTAAGTCATACGTAGCTGTCATCCGTACGCAAGGAAGTAAGCACAAGATGCCGAACACCCTTAGCAGGATGCAGCTCACCCTTCATGCGACTCGCCAAATACCTCACGGCGCTTCGCGCTTGGTGATGTGAGAGCCTGGTCCGGTGAGAACCCGGCGTGCTCCGTCCCGGCTTTGTAGGGATGCGAGGTCAATGGTCAAACGACTACGGCATGCACGACTATGAGTACACCCCCCCCCCCCCATTGCTCTCTCGTGCGCCCGGAATCCCATTTTCTTGGGGCGATTTCGTCGGGGGCAGGGCATCGCTCTGGTGGAGACGAGAGACGCCAAGAGCGAGGACAAGAACGCCTCGCTGGTGTCTTACGTCCCGGCATCCGGCCTG